TAAAAAAAAAAAAAAAAAAATGGTATTATTGATTTGTCTCTCTCAAGTTCTATGAACTTTGATCCCTGAGCACCGAACATTTGTCCTTTCATTCCCAAAACATACTTGCTGGATCTCACACATTTACAAGATTACCACGATGCAAAGTGTAAATACAAAATAAGATGACAAATATTTCAATAGCACAAAGACACTATTATCTGTACCAAAGTAAATAAACAGAGCACAAAAACAGGTCTACTTGGTGCCTATTATGTCATCTGCTCAGCTTTGTTAGTTAAGTTCAAGGTGTCCGACCAAAAGGTAAGAAGGCAGGAAAGCTGGGCCATAACAAGTGGGCCAGGGCTGGAGGCCTGCTTTCTGTAGTTTGCCATGGATAGGAATGATAAGAAAAGCCCAAATATACAAAGAGGATTTAAAAAGGTACAACTAGTGTACACATTTTAAAAAGCATAACATCCAAAAATATTAGTCTTAGTGAAATCTACCACGCAGAACTTTCAGAAACTCAAAGTTTGTTCCCTGCAAGCTTTTTCTAGCCTGTGTTTTCTGTGCAAAACATTCTAAATAGGAACTTTTCAACATAACCTTTCTTCCACTTGACACACAGCAATTTATTATGAAGCTAAACAAGAAATCATAAAATGGTCATCATAAACCACAAAGCATGAAATGAATATATATTGCGTCTCAGCCTGTGGCTTTATTATGACCATATTAACATATACAGGTACTAGTTTTTCTGCTACTAGTTTATTACAAAAATACAGCTTTCACTTCAAATATAACTGTCTTAAAGTCCAAGGAAGAGCATCAGAATTCTATTGATACAATTCTGAATCCCATGAACAATTCTCTCATAGCAGAAGTAGAGGAGGTCTTTCTATAATTAAAGCAAAACCAATTGCTTTGTTCCATGGCTTTGCTCATCTATTTAGTTATCTTAAACTTGAAAATTTTACCTCTGCATCATATCTGACTGCAGCAGAGAGCAATGAGAATGCATTTTCCACAGTAATTCCTCTTTTGATAATGTGTTGACATAGTTTTTTCAATCTGTTTTCACAGTAAGATGTGGCCAAATCCAAAAGTCCTAAAATTAGAAGATACCATTATATTAGCCACTTCTAATAATCTGTTTTTATAGTAAAAACTTAAGCTCTTCAGGACATAAATCGGATCTTCATCCCCTAAGGGAGGTGCCATACACAAATGCTACGGATGTAACTGTTCAGAAAACCCATTTTACTACCACACAGCAAGAAAACAAAAGTCAACATGACTTTCTTGGCCTAATCCTGCTAAGGTTACACAAATGCTTTCCTCTGAATACAGGGTTCCACTGATGTCAGTGGGGCTACCGGGGCAATAGCATAAACATAAAATGGTTGCTATTAAAGCAAAAGCTTGTTCTTCACTCTTCAGTCTCTATAGCAGTGGTTGTCAACCTCTTTGGACACAAGGCTTCTCTCAGAAAAATGCCATCTCTTAGTTTTCACTCCTCTTGCCTATGGGTGGCCAAACTCAGAAAGACCACAGCAGGTTTAGAAATCCATAGCATTAAAAAGCATTCCATTTGTAATCTCTGGGCATGTCCTGATGAGCATGCACGTGTAGTTTGAGGCACCACAAACCTGTTTGAGGTGCTGCACACCAAACTCTGTATACATACACCCACTAACTGCACTGCTAATTAGCAGAATGTTGTTTTTTTAAAGCACACCAGGAAATCCAAGTGTCAGCCCCCCCCC